TGTTGGATTTCACCCCTGAGCTGAAGTGTCACTCTGGTGGAAGTACAGGTAGTCCTTGTCTTAGAACAGTTCATTTAGTGACTGTTCAAAGTTACAACAGCATTGAGAAATGTAACTTATGACCGTTTTTCAGTTACGACCTTTGCAGCGTTCCCATGATCATGTGATCAAAATTCAGGTGCTGGGCAACTGGTTCATATTTATGATGGTTGCAGTGTCCCGGGGTCATTCCCTTTTGTGACCTTCTGACAAGCAGAGTCAATGGAGGAAGCCAGGTTCACTTAACAACCGGGTAACTAACTTATCAACTGCAGTGATTGATTCACTTAACAACTGAGGCAAGAAAGGTCGTAAAATGAGGAAAAAAACTCACTTAACCAATGTCTCACTTAACAACGTAAATGTTAGGCTCAGTTGTGGTCATAAGTAGAGGACTACCAGTATTGGTCCTTTTTCAAGCAAGAAACTTGCTTTCTCAGTAAAAGGCCTCCCTTCCGAGACGATTAAGTGGCTCTTAGAGCCCTGGCATTTGGCTGCGCTTGTTATTCTTTGTCTACTTCAGACATGCATTTTTGAGCTTTAGCGTCTGATTATTTTATTGCCTGATCCCCACAATCACCCATTAGCAAATTTTACGATTCTACTTGACTTCTTCTCTGCCTGTTCCCATTGCGCTGGGGGCGGATTGGCTTCCAATTTTTAATTCGCAAATTGCCTGCGTAATAGAACCATTGCTAGTAATGCCCGTATTTGCCCAAAACATTGTCTGCAGAGTTTAAGGACTCTTTGTTCCTCTAGCCACCGATCAACAGAAAGCTTCACCTGCTTCACCTGCCGAGTATTCTGATGTGGCTGATGGATTTGGAGAGGACGAAACATGTCTTTGTCCTTCTCATCATGCTAACTTTGACTGCAGGCGCTGGAATCACTGATAAATGCGGGAAGCACCTTGATTTATATGACTTAGTTTGTTTCAAGTGGGAGTGGCGAACTATGGCCCTTTTGTGACTTGTGGACTTAATTCCCCACGCTGGCTCAGGAATTCTGGGACTTAAAGTCCACCAAGTCATAAAGTGGCCATAGTTCCCCACCTTGGTTTAAAGGAACTGGTGACAATTCACTGAAAGAGTTTATAGGCATTCAACCACAGCCCCAACGCTTTTGCGAATAAGATGGTTTATCCAAGAGCAGTTCGTGCTTTCTGATTTTTAAAGAGTTAGTGATCACTTACCTTGTCCCGCTGTTTGGTGATCATCTGGAATGATATCAGGAACCTAGCATTTTTTACTAAAATGGATCTTTTACTAAAATGGACTAAAAGTCTCACTGGTGTGAAGGAGGAACACAAACTCTGAATTGCTCTTAAATGTAGGGATGTCTTCCGGTTTGTCTAACAGCACCGCTTCAATCATTATGAGCTTTTCTGAAGGAGATTTTGTGGCATGGTTGACCGCTTTCCTAGTTGTTTGGCTACACAGGATCCTGATTTACCCTGTTACGAACACGCCAGGATTGTCTTTAAGCACCATTACCTGCACAAGTTGCATGTTAAGCTAGGATAATATTTGGATTCCTTGAATGGTTGCATCTCTTCAGACAGCCTCCAAATGGGCATCCGGTTAAACTGGGATTTATCCTGTCTCTTGGCATCTTTCAAGGAGTAGCAAGAGGTGTTTCTTTTGTCCCTAACCTTGTAATTGCACTAGAAAGCAGTCTCACTCCAGGCCCAGAAGCAAGTGTTGGCCTCTCAGCCCCTCCCTTGTCCTCCTGCGATGTTCTTCCCTCTTTTGCTCCAGGATCCTTCGGGTTTTGTGCCAGGCAGCCAGTGTGCTCAGCCCTGCATTTCTTCTATCAGAACAAACGTGGGGACTTGTCTCGTCATGCCAGCTTTGGACCCACGAGCCGGCTGTTCCCTTGGCAAAGCAGCCATGGATGGATTTTACTACTTGGATTTGAAATCTGGCCATGGAAGTTTGCTCATTTTCTATTACGTTTGACTGCATCTGCTGCCCTTTTTTCTTGCCTTTTCAGTGTTGTAGGTCAAAGGCACATCAGCTTTGGTTCTGACATCCTTCTCGGGTCATGTGATCGTATTTTGGTGCTTGGAGTCTGCATTTAAGACCGTTTGCCGCATCTAGGGTCTGCATGGCCACAGCTTATGACATTTTTTGCTGGAAATCAGCATGTACTTCAGTTTTCCAGCAAAAAGGCACATTGCGGACAATGGGTTTGCTTAAGGACTGTGGATTTGCTTAATACTATGGTGATTTGCTTAAAGACCGATGCAAAGAAATGTCCTAAAATTGGGTCAGTCACGTGAGGATCCAGTTAATGACTGGCATGATTTATGGTTGTAATTCCAGGCTCAATAACGATGGTAAATCAAGGACCGCCTGTATGGCTTATTGGCTGCATTATGTTGTGCCTTCAAAATGATTTGGTTGCTTTTAATGAGGCAGATTTTGGCCACAATAGGCTTTGAAGGATCTCCCTGCATTGCCAGAGATAGTCTCTTTTTTTACTACCATACCTTTATTTACTCCACAGACAATTTACAATTTCCTTCAAAATTGCTCTGCATTTTCTGTTACACCTTTAATCCTAAGCATTCTTTCCTCTCCTTGACTATATTCTTTTCAACGGTCTTCACTTCTTATAACTTTCTCTCCTCCACAGCATTTTTCATTTCATCGCTTCATTGAGCTTCTTTTTCCCATTTCTTTGCTATCACCGGATTCTTTTCTGTCTGCTCTGGGCGACTTAGACGTCCCTTTTCATCACGGCCACTTTTCATCCTCAAGTAGTGAATATTATTAGTTCACCCTGTTTACTGCAGTTCCTTTCACTTCTTTCCTTTTCCTTCCTAAGCCTTTTCTGCCCATGACATCACCAAACGGTGTTTTGTCCCAGATTCAGAACCTTTCATTGGTCGGCTTCCCTTGCCCACGCAGGCTTTCATTGCGAGCTCTGCATTTGGGTTTCTATTCATTCCTTCACTGCCTGGACTTAAGAACAGACTTTTCAGTTCAACCCTTTCCTTGAAACAGACTTCTAAACAGAAACTCAGATTATTCATTTAATAGTAATTCTAATCGCCATTAATCAGTGGTAAGTAAGGTCCTACACTTAGACAAGAAAAACCAAATCTATACATATGGGGGGGGGGTACCTGGCTCAAAGCAGTAACTGTGAAAGACATCTCTAGATGTTCTAGTTGAGGGGTCTCCAACTTTGGCAACTTTAAGACTTGTGGACTTCAACTCCCAGAATTCCTCAGCCAGCTTTGCTGGCTTTGCTGGCTGAGGAACTCTGAGAGTTGAAGTCCACAAGTCTTAAAGTTGCCAAAGTTGGAGACACCTCAACTAGTTGACCACTACTTAAGTATGAGCCAGAAGTGTCCTGCAGCTGCCAAAACAGCCAATGTAGTCCTAGGCTGCATCAACAGAGGGACAGCATCGAGATTGATCACGAGAATATATTTTCTCCTTTCATTTCACTTGTTAATTTGTGTACTCCTCTTGTATTCCAAGTTGCAATCTTCTACTTGCGGGAGTTATGATGAGTAGGTAGACCTCTGCATACAAACCTCTGCCACCTGCCATGGCCTTGGTCAGTCAAGGATGTCACTTGATGCTCTTTAATAGGGAAACAGGGTTGCCTTGAGCTGCATGCCACATTCCTTGTTAAGTAAGGGCACAGGAGTTGGGTGTGACATGCTTTGGGGATTAGTGCAACCACAGCCCAGCTTTATTGCAGTCATTTTCTATGCAAGCATGGCTCTCTAGGAAACATATCATTATGTGCATCCCATCAGCTGTTTATATGCATTAGAAAATACAGGTGGATAATCAACTGTAAGTTTCAGTACCAAAACTTGGCAGTTTGGAAAACTTTCATCTTGGCCAACAGTCTGTAAAGTGACGACTCCCATTGTGGAGCTATGGAATTGTGACTCGATTTCCAGAGAATACTTGAGAATGTAACTGTGTGATCCCAGGAAAAGAGAGATGCCACCTAGGAATTCTCTCTTCCTGGCCAGTTCCTAATGACTTGCAGGAGGACAAAACACCTTCATTCTAACAACACATTAAGGCGAACACTTGGACAGTGCAGGCCAATAGAAAGAGGGTTTTTCTTAAAAATCTATGTCTCCCCATTGCACTGAAGGGACCAGTCATAATTGTGAGCTGAGCCTCCACTGAATGAATGGAAGTAAACAACCATCCTGAAAGCTTAATTCTAGCTTTGGACGCAGCAGTCTGTCAGTTCCTGATAGGAAAGAGGGCAAAACAGCTGACTCTGGTGGCCACAGGCAAGTTCTCCATGATCTCGGGAGCTTCCAAAATCTGCCAATATCTCCATCCTTCCCAGAGAAGAACCACTGAAATGGAGCAGCGTGTGACCTACAGCGTTGCATTTTTTTCCGCAATTTGATTGCAGAACTGGAAATATTTGTGAGCAGCTTCCTAGCTGAACAGAAAGCAGACTTTCAACTTTTTCTTGGTCCTCATTTGAAGCTGTTTCTTTTGTCCAAAGGCAGGGTTTAGCCACTGAAGAGCGTGCTGTGATTGGTCCTATGGGACAGAGGCTGGTGTTGAGTAGGGAAGGGTGATCTGGGAGGGAGGGAGGGGGGGAGGAAGGAAAGGAAAGGAAGGGAAAAAGAAGAAAGGAAGGAGATAGATGAGGAAGGGTGGGAGGGAGGAATCTTAAGAGGACAGCTTTTATGGGACTTTGTAGCAGTTGGGGGGAAAGTCTGAACTGAAGGGGTTGTTAATGGCATTTCCATTATTTCCTTCAGCACCCCTGTCCGTCTGACATATTTCCTGCAAATGGTCTCTTGCATCAGCTCCCTGCTCCTGGCAAAAAGCCAACACTTTTCTTGGCTGCTGCCGAATTGATTATGGCCTAATACAGTCCGGTGCCCCACCTGAGCCCCCGGGCCCCCTTCCCCTGAGGCGGGCCTCTGTTTTTCACCCTGACTTTTCCCTCTCTGTTCTTAGATCCCAATGCGGTGATGCCAGAGCAGCTGACCACAAGCCGTCCCAGCAAGGATTCAGGCAGTGCGGGGGACATCGCCACGCAAAGCCCCCATCACAGGTTCCCTTCTGTGGTGGAGGTCCCAGGGAAGCCAGGTAAGACCACCCACCACCTGGCACTGGAGAAACAGCTCACGCAAGGATGGTTTATAACACGGCTCTGCATTTTTTACCCATTGGGTTGCTTCTGGTGAATGGGGACTTTTGGTGTTCCGCTTGGGCTCTGGCTGCTGGCAGTTTGCATCAGTTCGCTTCCACTGGCATTCTCTGCAAGCTCCCTACTCTGAGATGGGCTCAAGAGTAGCTCAGGCTGAGTAATCCCAGGGCTTTAGGGTGAATTGTGATGTCGTCAGGGTGGGAGGTGTGGTTTTAATTTAATTTTAACTGTAATAATTCACTGTTGGTATTTTATGATTGCTGCGGCTGCCAAGAACCAAACACTGTGAGGAACAGTCAGAAGATCTGGGTTTGCTTAGCCTGTAGAAGAGAAGACTGAAAGGAGATAGGACAGCAGTCTTCAAATACCCAAAGGGGGTGGGGTGGGGGAAACAGACTTCTTCTCAGTTTTCCTAGGGGCTAGGACCAGAATCAAGGGGTGAACACTGCCCCGTGGGAGGCTCAGGCTGTATCTCAGGTGGAGCTTCCTGGCTCTGTGTGAGCTGTCACCCAGTGGAACAGTTTGCCAGTAGAAGTGGTCAGTTCTCCAATAGTGGAAATCTACAAAAGGAGGCTGAATGGTCATCTGTCAAATATGTTTGGAGCAAGGGGTCCCTGGTGCCTGGTTGTTTTCTTGCAGATGTCTCATTACCCAGACTTGGTAACATCATCAGTGTTGGTAGGCAATGGGGTTTTGAGGAATGTTATCTGACCAAAGTTGGAGTAGATAAGGATAAGGATAATTTTATTTCTATACCACCCCTCTCCCGAGGGACTCGGGGCGGTGTACAGTCAGGTAAAACACAATACAAATATCACAATTTAAATTTAAAAATTCTTAAAAGTATTACCTTTAAGGCCAAAATTAGCTAAAAAACCCAAAAAATTTAAGAACTCCGAATTTAAAACTCAATTATGAAGCTAGCCCTGCCTGTCGGAAGAGCAGGGTCTTAAAAGCACAGCAGTAGATAACCTCAATTGCCCCTTCCTGTTTCTGTAATTTTTGTGATTTTTAATTAGGAATGTGTATGTTTTTTTTTTTTAAAAAAAGGAATATTGAAGGAAAATATGTTTTAATAATACTCTTCATGCTTTTGTACATGTACTCAAGTGTCTAAACAACCTTACAAAAGCAGCTTCTAGTTGATGAGCTGTGGCAATAGTAGGTCGGTTTCCAAGGTTTGTGAGAATGAATTTATAGGAAAGATGGGCTACATCAGTCTCACTTAAACCAGATCACAAAGTGAGAAAGTTTTCCTCGGGCTGATTTCAGCTTTGGTAGCATCTGGAAGGGGATCCATAATAGCAACTTTAAGGAACGAACAGCAACTGATAGTTTCCCAAATTCCAGACAGCTCCCGTGTGAATGGGATGATGCAATGGCATTCTGATGGAAAGACACCAGTGTGAGAAAGTGTGTAGGTGTATAAAGGAGTGGTATTTTTTGTATTTTAAAAAGTTTTGGGAGTGAGTGAAGAGGGTGACACGGGAATCCATCCACAGAATAAATGAAAGGGATGAAATGATTTGGAAAGAAACACAAGTGAGGAACTGTTGCATGGAGCATTTCAGAGGTTTGCATGGGAATTAACAAGATTAATCGAATAGTGAATCTGAAATAAATTCTGGAAAGGTGCCTAAGGAAGAAAGTAATAAATTTCGTGGAAGTATGGAAAGGTGCAAGGCTGCAAATAAAGCAGGGTCCAAAACGTTTATGGGGCAGCTGTGTGAATTGTTCAATCTTGTTGGGGTGGCCTCTGCCCCCCACCCCTTTGGAACAGTGTTCCCCTACACAAAGTTAGCAGGAGCTAACTTTGATGGTTTTTAAGCGTAGAGCAGTGTTTCTCAACCTTGGCAACTTGAAGATGAATGGACTTCAACTCCCAGAATTCCCCAGCCAGCTGGAGAATTCTGGGAGTTGAAGTCCATTCATCTTCAAGTTGCCAAGGTTGAGAAACACTGGCATAGAGAATAATTTGGCAAAACTCTGAACGACTGAAAGCAACGACAGGGAAGGAGACGACCCGCTTGGGGAGTCCATTGTCACATTATGTTGGCAGGCAGAATGGACTTCAACTCCCAGAACAAACATACAACATTTATATACATACACTTTTTTTTTTAAGCAGCTCTTTCAAAGTGGTCCTTTCTTACTATTTACACATATTTTAACTTTATCTTACTCTACATTGATATCTATCTTCCCTTATTTCGTCTACATTTTACCTTGATCTTTAACATTTTTTTCTCTCCCTCCTTTATTCCTCTTTCTCATTTTTTCCTATTCTCCAACCATTCATGCCATCTACACCACACTTTATAATATTCTGTATCCTCTTTCCCCTTGAGTTCTTTTGTTAGTTTGTCCATCTCTGCGCACTATTTCTTTCATTTTTATGCCACTGAAAATCTGGCAAAGATACTGATCTAATACCAGTAGCGAAAACACCAGCCGATGTGATAGAATGCACTAAGGGAGCCGGATCCCTAGGAGGCAAGGGGGCCGATCCAGAGGAGAAAGAGGCAACTTAGCCCTGATGTTACGTGTGGGAGAAAGTGGGCGAGGACAGCCCCTCCCTAAGAGTTCCCAGAGCGTGTGACAGGTGGAGCTAGCAGAGCCCTCAAATCTGGCAATATTTCGTCTGTAGGTGTGAAACAATAAAGAATTCAGCTTGGAAGAATCTCCACGTGCCATGCTTGCTTTTGGGCTTGGCAACAGTCAGTTGTTATAGATAACCAAACCAAACGCCCATAGATTGCTACAGGAAATGACTGAACATTAACATAAACCGACAGGTCTAATAGCAAAATAACAATACTGACAAAGTCCGTCTTCCCGTGTTGCCTTGAAGAGCTCCATCTTTGTTACCTCCCTGAAAGATTTAGGGAAATGGGTCATTGCAAAAGACAGGTGATGAAGGAGGATGAAGGTTTATTGGGTTTTCGGACGCACAAGAATAAACCGACTCTTAAGCTTTTAGAACAGAGGTCTTCAAACTTGGCAGCTTTAAGACTTGTGGACTTCAACTCCCAGAATTCTCTAGCCAGCTGGCTGGAGAATTCTGGGAGTTGAAGTCCACAAGTCTTAGAGCTGCCAAGTTTGAAGACCTCTGTTTTAGAAGAAGACTAGGAGACGCTGCGTTGCAGCCAGCAAGATGGTGGGTCCCTAAAGGGAAGGCGGGGTGCAACTGAATCTTGCAAAGGAGACAGGAGAAGCGTTGTGATGGCTGGTGACTCACTGCTACGAGGAGGCAAAATAAGTAGGTACTTGCCACACCCCAGTGCACTAGGAGCAAAGATTAGGGATGGGGACGTGCAGCTTACAGCATTTTCCGTGTCCAACAACAATTATCCCTACCTGCTAGTACATGTGGGGGCAAATTATCCTGCAGTTAAAAAAAAGCTGCAACTGTCTTATCACAGAGGTGGAAGAACTTGGAAAGAAATGTAAATTCTTGGGAATTTTGGGGTGGCTCCCCTTGTTTCTTACAGAATATATGGAAGAAACCAGAGTTGAAGGAGAATGCATGACTGTCAACCCTGGGCCGATGGGAGAGGGAGGGTTCTGCAACCAAGGCTAGAATTATTTGGATCACGGAATGCTGACATCGTGGTGGGTTACACTCACCTGGTCTGATGAAAATCTGGTATGTTCAAGTACAGGTAGTCCTCGACGTACGACCACAATCAAGCCCAAAATTTATGCTGCTAAGCGAGACACTTGTTAAGTGAATTTTGCCCCATTTTATTACCTTTCTTGCCACAGTTGCTAAGTGAATCACTGCAGTTATTTAAGTTAGTGACATGGTTGTTAAGTGAATCTGGCTTCCCCATGGACTTCGCTCGTCAGAAGGCCGCAAAAAGGGGGGGTGTCACATGACTTGGGGACCAGGGGTGAAATGCTCCCGGTTCGGACCGGATCGCCTGATCCGGTAGCGATGGTGGCGGGTAGTTCGGAGAATCAGTAGCGAAAATCCCTCCCCACCCCCATGCCAAGCTGAGCCGCACGATCATCAGAAGCTTTTTATTTTATTTTTAAAATACAACCACTTCGGTCAAAAAAAATGCTTTTAAAAGTAAAAACAAAGCCTCTGCCGATCAGGCAAGTCAGCTGGGATTGTCAGAGGCTTTTAAAAGCATTTTTTTACAAGCTTTTCAGCCGATGAGGTTGTAGAAAAAATGGTTTTAAAAGTAAGAAAAAGAAAAAAGAAAGTTGTCCATGCCCACTCAGTCATATTACCCAACCCCCACACCAAGCCACGCCCACAGAACCGGTAGTAACAAATTTTACATTTCACCACTGCTGGGGACCCTACAACCGTCATAAATACGAATCAGTTGCCAAGTGTCTGAATTTTGATCACGTGACCATGGGGATATTGCAATGGTCGTAAGTGTGAAAAACGGTCATAAGTCACTTTTTTCATTGCCATTGTCACTTTGAACTAAATGAATTGTTCTAAGTCGAGGACTACCTGTACAGCAAGTTTGATAGAGCTAAACCACTTTCAAAAATGCAGCCGAAAAAAACTGCAGGGATTTCTCTAGGCAGTGAGTTGACATTGACTGAAAGACACACACACACACACACACACACACACACACACACACACACACACACACACCCTGCACAAAGTAATGTGTAAACAGGTGGAAAAATATTAAAGCAGTCAATGAAAAATCAGAAAGGACATCACCGCGTCACGTTCACGTGGCTTTTATGTATTCAACAGTGTTTAAAATGGGAATAAACAAGAAATAACCTGATCTCTTAGGACAGGAAGGTTTCCTTGATTTCAGAGTTTGGAGACCGGGTGGGATGAACCCCAGGACAGCCTGCCGGGAAGGAGCATCCCTTCAAAAGCAGCCGAAGCCACAGAGAGCGAGAACTTTCCCTTTGCTGCCTTCAAATGGCTGTTCAAAAATCCATCCCCAAAGCCTTTCATTCCCTTTTAAAGGGGGGGAAGGAGGGAGCCCCCAGTGTCTCTGCAGGAGGCAGCTCAGTAGCCCCCTCCTCCTAGGACAGGGGTCTCCAACGGGTGAAATGCTCCCAGTTCGGACCGGATCGCCTGATCCAGTAGCGATGGCGGCGGGTGGTTCGGAGAACCGGTAGCAAAAATCCCTGCCCCCCCCCATGCCCAGCTGAGCTGCGCGATCATCAGAGGCTTTTGTTTTTCTTTTTAAAAGCATTGATAGTACAGTGGTTTAGTGCACCCTGTCATTAACACAGCAGCCTGCAATTTCTGCTGGTTCGAATCTCTCCAAGGCTCAAGGTTGACTCAGCCTTCCATCCTTTCTAAGGTAGGTGAAATGAGGACCCAGTTTGTGGGGGCAATAAGCTGACTTTGTATAAAATATACAAAAGAATGAAGGCTATTGCTTAACGCATTGTAAGCTGCCCTGAGTCTCCGGAGAAGGGCGGCATTGCGCGGCTCAGCTAGGATCATCAGAGGCTTTTAAAAGCATTTTTTCTACAACCTCTTTGGCCGAAAAAATCCTCTTAAAAGTAAAAAAAAAAAAAAGCCTCTGATGATTGCGTGGCTCAGCTGGGATCATCGGAGGCTTTTAAAAGCATTTCTTTTTACAACTTCTTCAGCCAAAGAGGTTGTAGAAAAAAATGTTTTTAAAAGAAAAAAAAGCCTCTGCCGATCAGGCAACTCAGCTGGGATCGTCAGAGGCTTTTAAAAACATTTTTTTACAACCTCTTCGGCCAAAGACATTGTAGAAAAAATGGATTTCACCACTGGTCTCCAACCTTGGCCGCTTTAAGCCTGGAGGACTTCAACTCCCAGAATTCCCCAGCCAGCTGCCCTAAAATATTCCCAAATCCATTCCCTTTTAAAGGGGAGGAAGGAGGGAGCCCCCAGCGTCTCTGCGGGAGGCAGCTCAGTAGCCCCCTCCTCCTAGGAGATGCCTGGCTTCTCCTGCTGACCGCTTGCCCCTCCCTGCTAGACAGGAAGAAGGAAGAGGATTATCCAAGACACTGAAGCTGAATTCTGTAAAGCTGGACCTTTCTACGGTCTTTGGGGTGGAGACCTTTTAAGAGCCCTCTTCCAAAAGGGAAGGAAGGTTTCACTTGACAGAAGGGCTGATTCCAATAGGACGTTGGCCGATGCTTTCCTGTGGGTTCCTGGGTGGATTGAGGGTGGGAAGTAGCCCAAATGCCCCTTACAGCTGCAGATTAATCTGAAAGAACAAAGGAATTTTTTAAAAAAACCACTTGAAGTTGACCTGTTATCGTTAGATTCCTTTTACCCATTATAGTTTAATGCAAATCTATTTAAGGTGCACCAGTGCTGGCCAGCTACGTATTAAGCTTCAGTTTTGTGCACGCTGATGTTCATAAATTTTCTCCTTAAATCGATGTGCTGCTTTTCCACACCTTTACCAGCTGTGCTTGTTCTCCTGCTGGCTCTGGAGGCTCCTTTGCCCTCAGTGAGTCTCCTGCCCTCCCCTCTTGCTGGGAAGGCTGCTCAGCCACAGGCTTTGACAAACCTCTGGTGGATGCGGTTTCCTGATCCTTCTGGCAGAAAAATCAGACAAAATACGAGCAAAAGGAGATAACTGTAAGAGCAGCCCTGGGAAGCCATTGGTAGAAGTCATAGAACAACAGAGTAGGAAGGGATCTTGGAGGTCTTCTAGTCCAACCTCTTGCTCAAGCAGGAGACTTATACTATTTCAGAGAAAAGGTTGTCAAATCTCTTCTTGAAAACCTCTAGTGATGGAGCACTCACAGCTTCCGGTGGCAAGCTGTTCCACTGATGAATGGTTCTGTTAACTAATCCTAATCTATTGATGAAAAGTAAGTGGCACTCTTCTGGAAGGATAGCAATAGCACTTAGACTTATATACCACTTTACAGCTCTCTCTTTAAATAGTTTACAGAGTCAGCCGATTGCCCCCAACAATCTGGGTCTTCATTTTACCGACCTCAGACTGAGTCAACCTTGAGCCAGTGAGGATCGAACTCCTGGCTGTGGGCAGAATTGGCCTGCAATACTGCATTCTGACCACTGCACCACCAGGACTCCTTGGTGATTTGCTTTCATATCATTTTGTAATCCAAAGTGGTGCCTCCTAGATGGGCTACAGAATAACTTCCTAGCAACACGGAGATTGACTGACCTTGTCTGGGGGATTTTGGAAGCGATACTGATGCTCGGCTAAAACGCCACCAGCTCTGGTGAAGAGTCTTGGAGTTAGGAGAAGAATAATCGTGATGTCGGTCTTGGGACTCTTGGAAAGGCTGTATTTCGATCTGCATTCTGGCACCAAAGTCAGCTCTGTTGTTGCAAGAGAAAGAAGTTGGGCGCATTCCTGATTCTTCTCAAGCTCTTCTCTCCGCAGCTTGATTGGGTGGAGGTAGCCCAGCGTAGCCGTTTCACTCCTATCAGAAAAATGTGTTCCATGCAGTGGGAATGGTATTATGCTCCAGTTCATAGAGCAGGTCTGGTGGGACGTTTCATCTTATCTGCTGTGTTCTTTAATGTGCATTTGAAGCTGCAGCGGGAGCTCCGAAGGGCATCTGCTCTCTCCCCCTCTCTCTCTCTGTCTTTGGGTGAGATGAGGTTGTGCAGGTTTGAACCTCTGCTTGGCTTATGGTCATGGCGTGTGTGGAGTCCAGTAAATTGAACTGAATCTTCACAAGACCAAGGGTGTTGCTTTTCTTTTTTGGGAAATGGACAGTTCATAAAGAACAGTGTGGTGACAGTGGCTGTTATTCCATTTATATGCGGCCCAGTATATCTGGGCTCTTGTCCTTGACGTCCATAATCCAACTGTGTCCTTCAAAACTAGTGAGCACTTCCCTTATTTGCTCCTTTCTGGATAGGGGTGTCTTGCAGGGGAGACCCACGACAGGTAATGCCCTGCATGGATTACTGTAATAGGCAGTACCTGCACTCTCCACAGAAATGACTCCAAAGCTTTTAAAAATGCCGTTTCCTTCCTTCCTATTTGAGTCAGATGCGATTCCAGGACAGCCTTTCCCTGGCTGCCGATTTACCTCCAAGCCCAGTTCATATTCTGGCGTTTTCCTTTCGGATCCTCAACTCTGACGGCTGGGCCTTAAAATCCCAAGGAATCCCTTTTTTGCTTAGCCTCCTTAAGGGAGGAGCATTGGTCATCCTTGGGGAGAGAGATCATTTTGCGGTGGGACCCCTTTTCCACAGAGATGCTTCTTTGGATCCTGAAAAGATTGTGGTCTACTTGTTCTAACTACTTTATTTCATAAAGTGCAGGTAGTTGGGTTTGGGCACCATGATTCCCGTCCTCACGAAGGGCCCTTTCCGATGTACAGAGAGCCAACCGCTTGCCTGGCCCCCCATCCTCGACCTTCCTTAACTTCTCTTTTCCTTCCACACATGCCAGACCCTGTTAACCAAGATGGCCAGGATACCCAAAGACCGACCGATGGATTCTTCAGCTCCAAGGTGGCCGTGTTTGCTGCGATCGGGGCTGGCTGCGTCATTTTCATCCTCATCCTCATCTTCCTCATCGTCCTTCTCATCAAGATCCGAAAACGACACCGGAAGCACACGCAGCAGCGGGCGGCGGCCCTGTCGCTCAGCACCCTGGCCAGCCCCAAGAGCAGCGGCAACGCCGGCTCCGAACCCAGCGACATCATCATCCCCTTGCGGACTACAGAGAACAACTACTGCCCTCATTACGAGAAAGTCAGCGGAGACTATGGGCACCCGGTCTACATTGTCCAGGAGATGCCCCCCCAGAGCCCGGCTAACATTTATTACAAGGTTTGAGGACAAACCTTGCTGCCCACCGCAAAAGCCCTCCGGGTGCCAGGGGAGAGGAGGAGGAGGAGGGTCTGCTTGCCCCCTCGAGCACTCCCCGCCCTTGATTAGCATTTAGCCTTGTAGTTTGGAGCTTTTCAGACCCAGGATTTGAGGGTGGGGGGGTGTCCTCTTGCCCCCCTCTGCTCCCAGCCCGCTTTGTGGCCCTCACTTGGGCTCTGTGCCTTTCTCGCTCTTGAACCCACCCGGGAAACCCCAAGATGGCCGCCGCCTCGCTTTGGGGGTAGATTTTCCGGCTCCTCAGTGTCGTTTTTTTCGGGGGGAGGGGCATTGTTGGGAGGGAAGCCACACCAAGCCTGGCTCTCCAAGGGTGGGGGGGGCATGCCAGTCCCTGCGGGGCAGAGCTTTGGACCATGCTGAGAAAGGAGTCTGCCTATATATAAAATAATTCTAAAGTATTTTTTGTAACTTTTTAAAAAATTGTGAAAGATTGGACTTGTGAGCTGCCTCCTGCGGTTTCTCAGCACAAGCTCATCTGCAGTCCTTCCCCTCCCCCCTGCCCCCCGCCCTATCTCGGGCCTCATCCACTCATCCCACTGGACAGTCCTCTCCTCATGCTCTATGTCTGCTGCGAGAAAAGTGGATCTTTCGTTCTTTTGGTTCTTTTTGCTAATTTATGAAACAAACAAACAAAAAAAAGTTTGCAATGGTCAGTCCAGGAGAGAATCTAGTTCTGAAAACCAACCGGAATGGCTGTCCAGAGGTGGGCTGCTGTTCGTGCCCACCGGAGCAGCCCCCCTCCTGGGCCAGGGTGCAGATGCGCGAGGGTGTTGTGATGGCCAGGATAGGAGTCTCCCTGAATTCCCGATTCCGTGACCCAGAAGAGGGGAATGAAGGGAAAGCATCCATGGTCCCAGGACCCTTCCAGAAAGCCCGTGGAAGGGAGCTCAGCTTTTGGCTCTTCGGGGGTCCAGGAGGAGGAGCAACACAGACCCCTCGCCCCTTGCTTGGATTCGGTCTCTTTTATGCCCAATTGCAGAATGTGGCAATCATCCCCCCCCCCCAATTTCTTTGATCCAGCCACCCATCCCAGAGCTCTTCATTGGTTTGCTCCTGCCAGTCATATTAATTCTAATTGTGACTTCTGTGGCCTGCAAGGGCCCTTGATTGGCCCCGGGCCTCTTCACGGGAGAGAAAGAAGCCCTCTGGGCTCAGCTTTCCCAGTGGGTGCAAGTGTCAATCAAAGCCTCTGCCCCTCCCCTCCCCACCCATCTCCTGCCCTGTAGGGGGCGAGTCTCCCCCTCCCTGGGTGGGCAGAAGGAAGCCGGCCCCCCATTCCTCCTCACGCCTGCTTGGCTGCAGCATCCTGGGCTCCGGGCCCTTTCACGGCCACCTTGCACCTGTCATGCCAGAAGCCTTACTTTGCTCGGAGACGCTGCTGCGCTTCTTGCTCTGCGCTTCCGTGTCTCGCCCTCCACGCCTCCATCAAACCCGGTTGCAGCTCACTGTCTGCCCCCCAGGCCGTCCGGCCCCACAGCAAGGCCCCAAGGCCGGCCTTCTGCCTGGCAGCTGGCGGCTGGCGGTTGGAGTCTGCCTCGGCCGCTCCCGAGAAGATTGTGGGGTTGGCACTGTGCAGCCCTCATCGGCCTGCCTGCCTTTTGGAGACCAACTTTTGCAATAAACTGGTCCGGTCGGGGTGGGTGGGGGGTAGAGGCCCGTCTGCCCGGCTGACCAGTTGCCCATCCTCAGAGACAGGCCCACCCAGGGCCCCTCCGGCTCCTCCCCATCAGCATTTCTATGCAGGATATGAAGTGGGTGTGTCCGTCCGTCCGTTTGTCCGTCCGTCTGTGTAAGGGCTTAGGTTAATTGTGCACTTTGAGGCGTGTTCAGTGGAGATCAGCCAAGAATTCAAGTTTCTCAGGGCTCCACAGATAACCGACAGGTAATTTTTAGTAGTGGTAGTAGTAGTAGTAGTAGTAATAGCAGTAGTGTTCTTTTTAAAATGTAAAGACTCTTCCCATGGCCCCTTACTATCTTACACCCAGTGGTAGGGAAGCCCCTCTCTGGCCCGGAGGAGGGGGCTGCCCCTGCAGTGGGAGGCTTTTAGCATTTTGTTCTGATTCCCAGACTTGGCAGCCGTCTGCCGAATGGTGGAAGTGGCAGGTCAGAGGCCTCTCTTAGAATCACTGACCCTCACAGGCTCCGGAGCCCCCTGGGGAAGGGAAGAGGGACCCCACACAATCCAGCTGAGAGAGATTGAGGGAGGAGAGGAGAGGAGGGATTGTGTGGTTCCAACCATAAACACGTAGGTTTTACACAGGGTGCAGCAAAAAATAGGGGGAGAGAGAAGATGCCAATTGCGGTCCTTCATGTAGGCACTCAAGAAAACTAATTTACAATCACGGCTTATTTTCCTTTGTGTGCAGAAATGGAAACCTGGCTGAGGTTCCCTTCGTGCTCCGTGCGGAACAACAAAATAAGAGACACATGAGGAGTTCGATGCAGGCAATTCATTTTGTGTCGGGAATTTTGCCTTGTGTGAAGTCCTCTCCAGTGTGACTTCTCTTTTCCTACACACACACACACAATTTTGGGGGGCGAGGGGGGAGCAGAAGCAACTGGGATGGCAAGAACCTTCAAAAGCTCAAGTTGGGCTCTAGAGCAGTGTTTCTCAACCTTGGAAGCTTGAAGATGGGTGGACTTCAACTCCCAGAATCCCCCAGCCAGCGCTGCTGGCTGGGGGATTCTGGGAGTTGAAGTCCACCCATCTTCAAGCTTCCAAGGGGTGGTTGACTTGCACCTTCCCCCTTAAAATAAACAAATAATTGGGGTGTGGGTAGCCAAATAAATTTGTAAAATGAGTGTATGGGGTGTCAATCTGCCTTTGGGGTCTTGGGGTTTTTTTTTAGCACCTCTCTCTGCTGAATCCTGAAATGTCCTTTTGCTTCATCTTTCTCCCATCAAAAGGGGTTTTTTTTTTTTTAAAAAAAATGAGGTTTTATTTTGTGTAAATAACCAGTCTTTTTTGGAGGGTATAATGTAAAGAAGTTTTGTATAAACTTTGGATTATTTTCTGGTTGCTTTTCTTAGAAAAAGAAAACAAAATGAATTAAAAATATGGGAAAAAAACCAACCACAAGAACGGGTGTTAAAACATTTGTCATACTTTAGTGTCTCTCTACATGCAGTTCATCCATCACAGGACGACACACCTGGGGTGTGTAACCAGCACACTCACCTCCTGAAAGGCCGCCCCATGCCCCCTCCTCCTAAAACTTCTGGGGGCCACCAGAGGGGCTCCTGATACCCATCCCCAGGCAGAGAACCGAGGCGGAGAGTCCCATCAGTTCAGGGGGCTTGCAGTCCTGAATCCCCTCGGGCTGGGATCCCTGCCTTTTCATACCCTAGAAGACTCTGCTGGTGCTTGAGGGGCCAAATACCCCCCCCCCTTTCTGTAGCCCTTGGAGTTGCCTCTGAATTGATGCTGGTCCTAAGCCAGCGATGGCTAACCTTTTTGCCATCGCATGCCAAAAGTGGGGGGAGTGCGGGAGGGGTCGCTCGCACACGTGCCCACACCGATAATTCTATGCGCCCCACCCCCCCAGCGCGCATGCGTGTGCAACCCCTGGGCTCCCCCCACTTTTGGCATGCGATGGCAAGGTAGGTCTGTTTTTCGCTCTCCCCAGGCTCCAGAGCCTTCCTAGGAGCCTGGGGAGGGCAAAAATGGCCTTTCCCATTCCTCCAGAGGCCCTCCGGAGGCCAGAAACAGCCTTTTTCCTGACTTCCGGTAGGCCCAAAAGGCCCGAAAATCAACTGGATGCATGCCGGAGCTGAGCTCGCGTGCCCACTGATATGGCTCCGTGTGCCACCTGTGGCACGCGTGCCATAGGTTCGCCATCACGGTCCTAAGCCATCCATCCTGCAGGCTGAGGCAATTGGGTTCATGTTTTCTGGGTGCCTGGCAGGTTTGAGGAGCTCTGGCTTACTCGGGGGGCGGGGGGGGGGCTGAGAGCAAGCAGTCCCTGGGAGCAATTGGGGGGGGCACCCGGGAGAAGGCATGTTTCCCTTCCCCAAGAGTGGCCTGTGGCCCCTATCAGACCAGAGGCATTTTCACATCTGGTCTCCCACTTGCCAGTGTTTCTGACTCTGGTGGGCATCTGGCTTGGCCTCAGAGGATTCAGATACTACCTCCCCCCCCAGAAGCTCAGAAAAGGGGCCATCTGGCAGCAGGTGGGCAATGCTGGGCCTTTCCTGTTCAAGGTGAGGCTGTTCCCCATCCTGCCTGGTGCTCCAGGGGTTGAGGTCGCCAGTGGACAACTCCGAATTTACCAGAACAATGGTGTGGAGGTGTTTTTTTTTTTTTTAAAAAAAGAACTATTGATTCTGTCACATTTTAGAAATTCCTTTACCCTTTATTCACTGCTTTCACCCAGTTGCCACATCATTGTCTTCAGTAATAATGGGAAATGAATTCCCTGGAGCCATGATGGAACGTGGTATATTGTTAAATAAAGTATTTTTTTCCTATGGAATTGAGTTGTCTTGCATTTTGGGGTTCTTTTGTGGAGAAGGTACCTGGCCCTGAATGTTCTTCCTAGAAAAACGAAAGAAGCGTGCAGGATTAAAACTGCCTCCAGAAAAATCTCCTTCTCAAATCTCAAAAGTGGGGGGAGCTCCTGCTGCTTTGCTTACTGCCATCTGGACCAGGGGTCTCCAACCTTGAACTCTGAGAGTTGAAGTCCACAAGTCTTAAAGTTGCCAAGGTTGGAGTCCCCTGATCTGGACAGTTGAAATGGTGAAGGGGGGGGGCTGCTTGGGCCTCCCCCCAGCAACCTTTCAGAAGCTGCTGTGGGTTTATTCCCACCCATAGAGCAGCACCAGATGGAATGAGACAACTTGCCATAGCCATCTCGTCACAGCCAACTCACCACAGTTAACTCACCACAGCCAACTCGCGTCGAGGCAAATTGCTGTGGGACAATTCAATTTAATCATTTAAATTAATTTAAAAATATATTTTAATTTCTGTCATTCACGTTTCATTTTGTCCCTTCTTTGGCATCCTTTCTTGAATGATTCTATTCCACCATTTCTTTGATATTAGTGTAACTCTTGCCTCGGGGTGAGCTGACCATGGCGAAGGTGTCCCACCCCTGGAGAATGGGCTGTGGTGTGTTGGGACTGTGGCGAGTTGTCGTAGACCTGCGTGGGGAGGATATTCCTTGTCTCTGCTCACCAGGAGTTCCCAGTTGCTGCTCAAAGGGCAGAAGCAGTCCTGAGCCCCAAGAAAAGCTTTGGAAACCCCACAGTGGCTGCTTCCCTGCAACGGGATTCTGTTGTGTGTTGTCAATAAGAGATGGTGAAGAGGTACCATCTGGTGGGAGTTGGGATTCCTCCTTTTAACCGAACTATCAGTTAAAAAAAAAAACTGTTCAGTAAAAGGCAAGGAAGTAATAAGAAGAATAAGAATAAGAATAATTTTATTTCTATACCGCCCTTCTCCCGAAGGACTCAGAGCGGTGTACAGCCTATTAAAAGCACAAGACAAACATCAGTTAAAATAATTTAAAATTATTAAATAATTCGGCTCAATTTAAAACCCCAGAAATTTAAAACACCCAATTTAAAATTATTATGTTGATAGCCCGGCCTGGCGGAACAACAGGGTCTTGAGTGCACAGCGAAACACCGGGAGGTTGGAGATCTTACGCATTTCCAGGGGCAGTTCATTCCACAGGGCTGGGGCTCCCCCTGGGTGTCGCCAGCCGGCATAACTTGGCCGATGGCACCCTGAGGAGACCCTCTCTGTGGGAGCGAACTGGCCAGTGGGAGGCTACTGGTGGCAGATGTCGGTCTCGAAGGTACCCGGGTCCTATGCCATAATAATAATAAGAGAACACTTATCCACCTTGGCTGAGTACAAATAACCTGCCACTGAATGACATTTTTTTACGGCTCCTGGGACACGGGGACTCCCAGAGGACTGGAGAAGATCTGATGCGTTTCCAGTCTTCAAAAAGGGGAAAAAATTGGATCCAGGAAATTATAGCCCAATCACCTTGACATAAGTACCTGGGAAGATCCTGCAAAAAATAATCAAAAGCCGTGGATTTTTGAGCGCCTAGAAATGAACAAGGTGATTACTATCAACATGGGTTTGTTTAAAACAGATCATGCCAGGCAAACCTTATGTCCTCCTTTGATAAAGTGATTAAATGCTGTAGACATAGTATACCTAGTAAGACTTCAGTAAAGACACTTGATTGTTCTGCTTCACTTGGTGCAACCTGGATTTCATGGGAAAAATATTAAGGGTCATAGTTTCACAAAATGCAAAGGTTGGAAGTAATCTTTAAGATTGGGGTAATGTAAAAATGCTGTCAAATAAATAGTCGAATAAGGGTCAAGATGTTTAGTCTGAGCACATCAGCAGACGAACAAACTCATCTGAGCATGGAAAACAGGGATTTTTTTTCGTTTAGATCACATGGAGCATGCAGTGCTTTGCATTTGTCCCCATTTATTTTGGTCAAATATTGCATTACGCAACACCATGTACTAAAATAGTTCTCTCTTTATTTAACATACTGGTGAAGTATGATCTTTCCACAACATTACTCCTAAGTAAGAAAAACAAGAAACAGTGACTGCTGTTGGGATTTGGGATATACAATTAACTATTCTTGCACTGGAACCATTGAATTCCCTTCAGTCCTGGCAAAACCTTATAGAAAAATTCAGCCAGATTGTTTGGAACAGGAGCATGGTCTTTCCTTCTTTACAAAGAGAAAACTTTAAAATGCCGTTTTGATTCACGTCTTGCCAAGAACACAGTCCTCAACTTACGACCACAGTTGATCCCAAAATTTCCCGTTTGCTAAGCAAGACAGTTGTTATGTCCACAGGCAGGACTGCAGAGGTGCAGTGTCCCCTCCCCTCAGAGATTGACTCTGTCGTCCCCCCTTGCCCGCTTCCTGTCTTCCTGAGGTCGACCAATTGCAGGGGCTCCTTGGGGTAAAAGCCACTCAGAGGGTTCAGGATTGATGCTTCCAGAAACATTGCCCTTGTGGGAGCCCTCTTATCACGTGGCAGGACAGCAGGGTTTTTCATGTCTGCCCTGATCTGATGAGGAGGAAGTCATAGTCTGAGCCATTCCAGAGCTCCTAGAGCATGGGTCTCCAACCTTGGCAACTTTAAGACTTGTGGACTTCAACTCCCACAGTTCCTCAGCCAGCAAAGCTGGCTGAAGAACTCTGAGAGTTGAAGTCCACAAATCTTAAAGTTGTCAAGGTTGGAGACCCCTGTCCTAGAGACTCCTTGAAGGTCTCTTGAACCCAGATCGAGCTGCTTCCTCTCCCTTTGGCTTTAGCCGATCAGGAGAGCCACGTGCTCAGAACTGCTCTCCTTAGTCTGGTTCCCTGTCACCACCAAGCATCTTCCTCTTCTTGCAAATCCAATCTCCGGGTGTGTTGTCCTGCTGAAGTTTATAAGTGCCATTTCCCCCTCAGCTCACTTGAAGCATTTTATCCAGGAGGTCTTCGGGCTATTTCAGCAACTGAAACATTGTACTATTGGCTTTGCAGGCAGAATGTTGCTGGTTCAAAAGTTGGTAGAAACATTACTATTTTTCTTTCCTTAAACTGCCTAGTTTTTTCCCCCTCATTATGTTCCCCTCATTATTTATTATTAAAAAAAAATAAATAAGTGCAGCAGTACACCATAT